TTCTGAATTTCTGAATTTCTGAATTTCTGAATTTCTGAATTTCTGAATTTCTGAATTTCTGAATTTCTGAATTTCTGAATTTCTGAATTTCTGAATTTCTGAATTTCTGAATTTCTGAATTTCTGAATTTTTGAATTTCTGAATTTCTGAATTTCTATTTTTCTGAAGTTTCTGAATTTCTGAATTTCCGAATTTCTGAATTTCCGAATTTTCGAATTTTCTGAATATCTGAATTTCTGAATTTCTGAATTTCTGAATTTCTGAATTTCTGAATTTCTGAATTTCTGAATTTCTGAATTTCTGAATTTCTGAATTTCTGAATTTCTGAATTTCTGAATTTCTGAATTTCTGAATTTCTGAATTTCTGAATTTCTGAATTTCTGAATTTCTGAATTTCTGAATTTCTGAATCTCTGAATTTCTGAATCTCTGGATTTCTGAATTTCTGAATTTCTGAATTTCTGAATTTCCGAATTTCTGAATTCCAAAATTTTTGAATTCCTGGAAAAACCCAAATTTGCTACAATTGAACTTAAAATTGCTCATTTCCAACCGATTTCTCTAAAATTTGGCTCATTTTCATCCAAAATTTCAGTATTCTACATTTATCTGTTTTTCCATGTGTCCAGATGTCCACCTACCTTTTGGCGTAGTAGCTTTTGCAGCCACTATCCTATCCAGCACAGCTTCAGCCACCACTCTAACTCCTTCCCAAGTTTCACGAGCCGTTGGAATCAACTCTTTCTCGTCCAAAATGAAACCGTCCCAATCTGAAAATTTCTGTTTTCTAAGCTTAGAATGAGTGGGAAATTTGAAAATTTCATAAAAAACTGGTCTAGAAAGTCGTTAAAATTTAGAAAATTGGATTCCAAAAAACCGTTTTTTTTTTTGAAATTTTCAAATTCCCGCCCAACCTACTCTTCTCATCGGGGCGCAATTCCAACAAGTAGACAAATTTGACTTTTGCCTCGTGTTTTGCCCAATCTTCGGATCCTCCAGATGCCGGATATAAGGTGTCTGCACCACTTCCAACCACATATTTCGTTCCATATACTCGTTTCAGTGCTTGCGCAGCCTTCTTTCCAACTTCATACTGTAATTAGAAAGGGTAATTGTTAGTTGAAATTTGCATTCATTTTGAAGCTTAGGAAAAGCTAAATTTAAATTAGTAGTTTTCATAAAATTTGGTTGACAATGAACGGAGATATGATCATTTTAATGATGGATCCTTTAATTTAAAGACGCACAGGGTCAAAAAGTTTTAGAATTTTCCATAATATGAAATGTTTATACTCATTTGAAAGCTCTGAAAGAGCTAATTCTCAAAATTTAATTTTTATAAAAAAATTTCGAAAAATAACCAAGATATGGGCTTAATCCCATCCATTTTAAGAAATTTCTGAAAATCGGAAAAAAAAGATTTTCCCATTTTTTATGAAAATTAAAAAAAAATTATAATTACCAAATCCTTGATGTCTCCTGGATAGGCGTCTTTTTTATGTCCGTATGGGTGGATCCAGATCTGAAAAATTAGTTTTATAAAAATTTTTCAGAATTTCGAAACTTGCTTAGGCGGGAATTTGAAATTTTTGAAGAATTTGAATTCTTTATAAAAATTGAACTTTTTTTGAACAATTTTTCATGCTTTCCAACTTGAAAACCTCCAATGTAGCAGAAATAATTCAAAAAAAACCGCTCGAAAATTTTGGAAATCAAAATTGTTTTTTGAAAATCGGTATTCTAACTTTGAGTCAATTTATCTGGGTCCCTATAACAGATATCAAAAAGTGGTCTACTGATAAAATATTGGATATTTTATGATCAATATTTTATCAGTTGCTCACTTTTTGATATCTCATATAGAAATCGAGATAAATTGGATTAAAGTTTGGTATGTTGAACATTTCCCTAATAGGACGCATCCAGCCAAACTGTCAACTTTGAGCCCATATATCTCATTTCCTGTGAGAGATACTTAAAAATGTTTAACTGATAATATGTTTATCACAATATAAACAACATTTTATCAATTGCCCACTTTTTGATATCTCTTATAACCTAGATAAATTGGTTAAAATTTAGGAAACCCTTCTATTGTTTTAGCTACTTCTTTAAAGCTTAAAAAACTGCGATTTTAAAACCAAAATCTTGCCTGTGAGTATGTGTGCAGCGTAATATAAGCATCGGTTCTTCCTCGATATCTTTGTGATAAAAGTGCGTCTCTAACCGCTTTGGCTTCTGGCTCACTGAATGGAGCCGGTCCTTGATAGATCTCCGAGCACGGGTCGTCACTGGTACCGCTCTCTGAAAACCTAATTTTATGAAACTCATTTTTTGAATTGAGCATTTTATGAGCTTTGAAATGAGTATAAACATGTCGTAGTTTGAAAAAAATTGCAAAACTTTCTACTATATTCGCTTTTAAACTAGATAAATTGTTAGAAATAACTATAACTTCGTTCATTGTTTGTCAAATTCCATGAAACTTAATTTTTTGAGTTAAGCTTTTTTTGAGCTTCAAAATGAGTATAAACATGGCATAGTTTGAATAACCTATGCGCCTTTAAAATACTACTCACCTCTAAAATGGAAATCAAAGTTTCTGTTCAAATCAACACCACGACAGCATCGATTCCGGCCCCAGATATCCTGCCGACACTGCATTTTCGAGCGATTTTTACGCCACAGACGGACCTGAAAGTTTCAGATTTTTTACTTAAAATTCTAAGAATTCCAAGAAACTCACATGTGGATTTGTGGAGGACCTCGTGAATTCATAACCATCCGGATTTAGACATGGTACTACGACAAATGTGATCTCTTCGAGAAGTTTCTTGATCCCGGGCTCGTTGGCGCGAGAAGTGAGCTGAAAAAACAGGAAATTTTCAAAAATGTCATCGAAAACGAACAATTTTGAGCAGAGAAACGAAAAAAAAAATAGTTGAAAAAAGTGCTCTTTTCTAAATTTTGAAAGAATGGTTAGAATTTTTCAAATTTTAAAAAAATTTTCGGATTATACCAATCAAAGTCAGAGCTCTATTTTTGTAGTTGACAACTTTTTTGAAAAATTATGCCCTGAGGAGATATGCCACGTGGAAGAGCTCTTACTTGCTGATCGGCGCAAGGATAGTCCTGCCCCAGGCAGCGGGAAAGGGCTATATCTCATTAGAGCGCGTTTGCACCAAAAAGTTGTCAACTACAAAATTGAAGTTAGCGTTGCGAGCTTTATTGTTGTAGTTGACAACTTTTTTGGAAATTCAGGCCCTGAGGAGATATGCCACGTGGAAGCGCCGCGTCCAGAACTCCAGGATGAAAGGGTAGGTGCGCTTCTAGGAGCCATAACTCATTAGAGCGCGTTTGCATCAAAAAGTTGTCAACTACGAAAACAAAGCTGTAGCCTTGTTTGATTTATTCTGAAATTTTCAAATAAATCCAAAAAATTCTAATAACTTTTTCAGACACTCAAAGAGACACAGAGAAACATCAAAATTTCGAATTTCCAATAGAAATCGGAAAAATTCAAGTGTTCCAAAAATTATTAAGTACTTCTCAATTTGTTTGACAATTTCAGAGGATACAAAACAAAGCAAGGTCTTCATTTTTGTAGTTGATAACTTTCTGGTACAAACGCGCTCTAATGTGATATGCCACGTGGAAGCGCCGCACCCAAATGAACACTCCCGAAAAGGAGAGGTAGGCGCGCTTCTAGGAGCCATATCTCATTAGAGCGCATTTGTACAAAAAAGTTGTTAATCACAAAGTGAAAGCTAACATCGTGAGCTCCACTTTTGTAGTTGACAACTTTTCTGAAAAATTAGGCCCTGAGGAGATACGCCATGTGAAAGTGCCGTACCCATATGGGTACTCCCGGGAAGGAAGGGACGCGCTTTTAGGAGCCAAATCTCATTAGAACGCGTTTGCACCAAAAAGTTGTCAACTACAAAAATGAAGCTCGCATTTTGTTTAGTATTCTCTAAAAATACCAAAAAGTTTGAGACAAATTGAGCCTTGTTTTTGGACCATTCTGCAAATTTAAGGAATTCTGTCCATGTTTCTCTGTATCCCGATGTCCCTGGCCTTAAGACCTTCATTCTACCCCCTTTTACAACCGTTATTAACCCCACTTCAGCTTCAGCTATCGAAAAAAAGAAGGAAAGTTTTATAATCGTCAATTCCTTTCACTTTTTCTCCGCACCGAAAACCAAAAAAGTGCGTTCTTCTGTTTGGAAAAAAGCCGCAAAGGAACGATTTGGCAGAATCTAGACAAGGAAATTTGAGTGAAAACTTGATTGCGATGGTGGTTTGATGATTGACGGTGATGCAATAGCGCTCTAATGCGAATTTAAAGGAAAAAAGTTTGAGACTGTAAAAGGAAAGGAGACGCAGAGAAACGAGAGACTCTCGCTGTCTGCGCCTTCTCTCGCTGTTTCATCGCGTACTTAACTTTAAAGGCGCATATCTTGCGATCCACTAAAGATATCAAAAAGTTGTAAACTACAAAAATGTTAGAAATTTAATTTTACACATTTCCCTATTTTTAAATTGTTCCTGGCTACTGTAGTTATTGAGTTACAAACTTCTGAAAAGAGGTATATCTCAAAAACTACGGTAGCTAGAGAAAATTTGAAAATAGGGAAATGTGTGGAATTTTAAACTAAACAATTTAACAATTTTCGATATATGCGCCTTTAAATTTTACCCACCTGGTGAATGAAAAAGAGTGCCGTGTGGGGAGCAGCCCACTCTCTAGCATGGATACCTCCGTCGATCCAGAAGATTTTTTTGGTTCTGGAATCTCCTCCAATCTGAAAAAATTGCAAAATTCCATGAAATTCAAAATTCCATGAAATTCAAAATTCCAAGAAATTTCAAATCCCAAGAAATTCAGAAATTCAAAAATTCAGAAATTCAAAAATTCAGAAATTCAGAAATTCAGAAATTCAGAAATTCAGAAATTCAAAAATTCAGAAATTCAGAAATTCAAAAATTCAGAAATTCAGAAATTCAGAAATTCAAAAATTCAGAAATTCAGGAATTCAGAAATTCAGAAATTCAGAAATTCAGAAATTCAGAAATTCAGAAATTCAGAAATTCAGAAATTCAGAAATTCAGAAATTCAGAAATTCAGAAATTCAGAAATTCAGAAATTCAGAAATTCAGAAATTTAGTTTCTCGAATAAAGTTTTCTTTAGTTTCAAAATCCAAATTTTCAGAATTTTCTAAATTTCAGATTTCAGAATTGATTATGAAAAAAAATCCAACCTCAACACCATCGATATTCCTCCCTTCCGTGGTTTTTCCAATTGAAATGTATTGAACCATTTTTGGATATTTAACAACTAATTGTTTCATCCAATCAGTCATTCTCTGATATGATCCATATGTATGGAAATCGTAATGTCCAGATGAGGAATCATCCCAGAGTCGTGGAAACATTTTTGACAAAGTTTGATTGTTTTCGTGTTTTGAGATCAGTCTGAAAATTTGGCAATTTATTTGGGAATTAAAGAAAAAGTGGAATTCTTTTGAAAACTTTTTTTGGAGTTTCAGCAATCGAATGATAATTAAAAGGCTCATTTTTAGTTACGTAATACCTAAACCTTCAAATTATCTGAAAACCAAGAAAAGGCGCAAAGAAACGAGACACTTTCGCTTTATCATCGCGGATCAAACTTTAAAGGCGCATAGCTTGCGACCCGTCGGAGATATCAAAAAGTTACAAACTACAAAAACGTCAGAAATTTTATTTCACACATGTTCCCGTTCTTAAATTTTGTTTGGCTACAGTAGTTTTCAAGTTACAAACTTTCAAAGATGATTTGTTCAAAAAAAAAATTTCAAAAGGCGTGTCTCAAAAACTACGGTAGCTAGAAAAAATAGGAAAATATTTGAAATTTTGTGCTGAGCAATTTTGTAGTTCATATTCTTGTTTCAGCTACAGTAGTTTTTGAGATATGTGCCTTTAAACAAATCTCAACTTCTTTTTAATTAAAATTTTCAAAATCTGAAAAAAGCTCACTTTTCGACATCATCAATTGTTCTGATATGTGAGATATTCCCATTATTGTGGAAATAATCCATTAAAAAATTTTCATTCTTCTTCTCCACCATCACATCCCAAAAGCCGTGCTTGTCTTTACCGGTTTTCCAGAAATTTAACTGAAAATTAAAATAAAATTAATTAAAACAGTTCTCTTTGAAATTCTCAGATTTTGAACTGCACTCTCAAAGTTAATATTTGTTGAAAATTATTTTTCAATTTTTTTCAAAACTTCAGATTCGGAAATTCTGAATTTCTGAATTTCCGAATTTCCGAATTTCTAAATTTCTGAATTTCTAAATTTCTGAATTTCTGAATTTCTGAGTTTCTGAATTTCTGAATTTCTGAATTTCTGAATTTCTGAGTTTCTGAATTTCTGAATTTCTGAATTTCTGAATTTCTGAATTTCTGAATTTCTGAATTTCTGAATTTCTAAATTTCTGAATTTCTGAATTTCTGAGTTTCTGAATTTCTGAATTTCTGAATTTCTGAATTTCTGAATTTCTAAATTTCTGAATTTCTGAATTTCCGAATTTTTGAATTTCTGAATTTCTGAATTTCTGAATTTCTGAATTTCTGAATTTCTGAATTTCTGAATTTCTGAATTTCTAAATTTCTGAATTTCTGAATTTCCGAATTTCTGAATTTCTGAATTTCTAAATTTCTGAATTTCTGAATTTCTGAATTTCTGAATTTCTGAATTTCTGAATTTCTGAACTTCTGAATTTCTGAATTTCTAAATTTTTGAATTTCTGAATTTCTGAATTTCTGAATTTCTGAATTTCTAAATTTTTGAATTTCTGAATTTCTGAGTTTCTGAATTTCCGAATTTCTGAATTTCTGAATTTCTGAATTTCCGAATTTCTGAATTTCTAAATTTTTGAATTTCTGAATTTCTGAGTTTCTGAATTTCCGAATTTCTGAATTTCTGAATTTCTGAATTTCCGAATTTCTGAATTTCTGAATTTCTGAATTTCTGAGTTTCTGAATTTCTGAATTTCTGAATTTCTGAATTTCTGAATTTCTAAATTTCTGAATTTCTGAATTTCCGAATTTTTGAATTTCTGAATTTCCGAATTTCTGAATTTCTGAATTTCTGAATTTCTGAATTTCTGAATTTCTGAATTTTTGAATTTCTAAATTTCTGAATTTCTGAATTTTTGAATTTCTAAATTTCTGAATTTCTAAATTTCTGAATTTCCGAATTTCTGAATTTCTGAATTTCTGAATTTCTGAATTTCTGAATTTCTGAATTTCTGAATTTCTGAATTTCTGAATTTTTGAATTTTTGAATTTCTGAATTTTTGAATTTCTGAATTTCTGAATTTCTGAATTTTTGAATTTCTAAATTTCTGAATTTCTAAATTTCTGAATTTCCGAATTTCTGAATTTCTGAATTTCTGAATTTCTGAATTTCTGAATTTCTGAATTTCTGAATTTCTGAATTTCTGAAT